TTTTGTTGTTCTCCCGCCTTGGCGGGGGGTTGGGCTAGAAGATCTACTAGGTCCCTTCCGACCCTAAATCTATGAAACTATGAAACAAGCGTGTGTTTTTGACATAGAAGGCAACACCACTACCTTTTTTCCCCAACCCTATCATTTCAAAACAAAGGGTAACCCCCTCAGTATTTTGCATTTTGACCTATCCACTTCCCTTTTGCACCATTTGTTGCTGTCCTGTGACTCTCTAGTGTCTTCCCCTCCTCACTGTTTGGCTCTTTTGTTCCACCTTCCCCCTTTAATCTAGCTAAAAGCCCTCCTTACTAAGTTGGCCAGGCCACGCCCAAAGGTGCGCTTTCCAGTTCTGGTCAGGTGGATCCCATCTCTTGATAGCAGGCCTCCTCCCAGAACATCCACCTGCTGTGAAAGAATTCAAAGGCTTCACACATCAACACCCTGGTCCCAGCCACATGCACTTCCAGGGCACGATGGCCCCTGCTTGCCTTACAAAGAGAGGATTGACCACAACTTCATTTGTGCTCCTAGATCATTTATCCTCCTGGCCAACTTAAGTAACAGATTGTAAGCATAAGCACATTTGTTGTCACATGCATCACCTTAGACCATTGAGCAAAAAACAAAATAAAATAATTAGGTAAAATCTGAGTTTTCCCTCATTTTGTGCTGATAGTTAATTTTTTGTATTCCTTTGAGATTAAACAGACAGACAGACATTGCATAAACTGGTTTGAGCCAAATCAGTTAAGTCTGATTCGTTCAGTTAAGTCAGTTAAGTCTGATCAGTTAAGTCTGTAGTTGAGTCTACACCCAACCAGGTTTTTTTCAAACTGGTTTATGTGCCCTGAATGTCTGTTCTGTTACAGGTTTAATCCAGTTTCTGATCACTTAAACCAGTTTATATGTAACGTCTGTCTCTAGCCTAAAAAAAGCACTAGTCCCGTTTCATGTCTGCCCCTTGTCTATTTTTGTTCAAGGTTCTAGAGAAAGCCGAAAACAATGATTATTATTGGAAAGTTTTCAAAATCATGTAAATATTTGTGTTCAGCTTAAAAACACTGATGTCAAGAAGCCAAATTTAGAAACACCTCTTTAACTGGCAGAATTTACCTGTCAATACCCTCCATTTCAGTGGGGGGCCGAGCTTTTTGGCAGAAGTGACAAAAGAACACCGCACCCTCCCCTCAGCAAAACACCCTCCCGGGGGAACTGGCTAGCTGCTCTTTCTGCTCCTTGCCCCGTGCTTCCCACCTGACCTGCTGCTCTGCTTTCTGCCTCCTTCCCTGTGTGGTCCCGCCCCCGTCTTCTGCTCTGCTTTTTGCTCCCTACCCTGCCTCCTCCTGCACTGCCTGACCCCTGTGCCCGCTCCGCCAGTGCCGCACGCACGTGCCACAGGCGGCCTCCCTGGCTCGACTTACACAAAGTCCGAGCCGCTGCCAGGAAGAACCGCTAACGCACCAGCCAAACCAGCTCATCAAACCCTGCCCGGCCTCGCACCCGCTCAAGCCGTCAAGCCGCGGCGCCGTGCGGCCGTGAAGAGCGCGGAGGCCTCTCCGCACTGACGAGCGACCCCGACGTACGAGTGCAAACTCAACCTGGGCCCACCGCTGCCGCGCGCCGCAGCTGGCCGTTACCGCGGCAGCCCCATGCGCATGCGCACTGCACTTGCCTCGCGGCACCAGCGCCGGCTGAGGGGAGGGATGGGGCGATGCCGGAAGCGGTTGTGCAACTGCGGCTTCCGGCGGAAGGGGCGGGGCGGGCTGGGCGGGTGGCGTTTCCGCGCTCTGCGTGTGGTGCGCGGGGCGGCCGAGGTGCAAGCGCCGCCGCCCGTCGGGGCCATGCTGCTGCCGTCTG